CATCAGCCGGGCAGCGCCCGCCGCTCCTGCCCGCGCCCACCTGCGGCGGGGGCTGCCCTGGGCGTGGGGCGGCGGGGGCGCTGCCGCCGCCGGCTCCGCGCAGTCCCACCCCGCCTGCCCTCCAGGATGAGCCCGGAGTATTCTCTGCGCTCCTTGCTGCTCATCATCCTCGCCACCTTCTCGGCCAACGCCAGCAACTGGCTGTGAGTAGCCGCGGGGCGAGAGGGGGAACACGGACACGCCGCAACTTGTTGGTAGCCCCGGGGGCGCGGAGCAGGTGCCGCGGGATTGGGCAGCAGCGGGTGCGACCCCTTGCAGCGATGCTGCTCGGTCCCCGGCGGAGCATAGGGCGCCCGTCGCCATCGCGTCGGTCCCCTGTCCCCGCTGACCCTTGCCGCGGTGGCGGTGGTGGTGCAGCCCTCATCCGCAGGCAGGTGGGCGGCAGGGGATGCCGACTCTCCTCAGCCGCTCAGCGGCGGTGTGTTATCGCGGCTTTTGGGAATGGGGCTGGTTATCTAGCCCCTGTCCCATTTTTTGTCCTTAAGTTATGAATCCCGATCACACCGGGATCACGGGTAGAGGTCGGGGCATCGGATCGGAGTGGGGCCTTGGATGTTGGCGAGATGCCGCGCGAGGGCCAGCGGTCCAGGGGAGGATTTGGTAGAGCTGGGGCGGCCAAACGTGCTGGGCCCGGGGATCTGCAGCGAGCAGGGCTACCCGCGCCTCGGCCCCCAGTTCCCGGTAGGAGGACGGGTGTCGCGGGGCTGTTGCACGGCGCAGAGGAGCCCGATGACATCGGGAACCCGCTGAACAAACACTGAAATAATGTATAAGGTAAACAGGGGCAGAAATCGTTCTGGAAAATTCCTACGTGTTTGCCAGGGCGGTGGGACTACTTTCTGAAGAGGACACCCCTCCTTTCCCCCTTCCCGGGTCAGAGGGAATGGAGCATGACAGCACTTTCCCACCTAACTTTGAACGAAGGCATCGGTTCTTCCTAATAAATCTACTTTGGTGGGAGATGGTGCTTCCCCTGCTGCCCTTGTTGCCGGTTGATGGGAGCTAATTAGTTCCCGTGCACGCACCCAGAAAACCTGCTCTCCGGCTAGGAGCGTGGGCCGCCTCCATCTCACCTTCATGGATTTCTCTCGGCAGGGGCAAGTATACCACACAGGATAAGGAGTTCTTGGGGTTGTCAGCATGAAAGATCCTGAGTGTCGTGTATCCCAACACAGGTGCTCAGGTGGGCACACATCCCCTGTGCAAGGAATCCTCTCTTCATCCAGATACAGCTCCTGCCTTTACATTTTGACTCGCTGGAGGCTGTGGGATGTAGGTGTATTTTGGAGGATGCTCCCCAATGCCTGGGGAAAGTGCCAGGTCAGCGGCACTCTCTGAGTGTCCTGCCTGTGGGAAAAGGCAGCTGCCTGGGATGCGTTAGTGCTTAGTCCTTCTCCCCTCCTTCTTTGCCAGATGGAGCGACTTGCATGCCACACGTCTCTAGCAACTGGTGGGTGGATCATAGCAGCTATCAAGGTGGTCTTTTAAGCTGTCACGCTTCTGGTGAAGGTATATTGGGAACTGTGGGAGTGTTTTTCCTGCAGGAAGAAAGTCCTGCTGAGGAAGCTCTGTGAGATGATGGCAGATCTCTGGAGAGGAGCAGCTTTGGCTGCCCTGGGATGGGCACGGCGGAAAGTGGGGATTTCATGAGTGAGGTCAGCAAGCTACCCTGCACGGATGTGCAGAGGTGGGACTACCCTCGTCCCCGGCGCCGCACGCAGCTGGAATAGAATTTGGGAGGCGAGGCGGACTGGTGATTCGCCGCACTAGTCAGGGAGGGCTGTGTGCAGCCGTCCGTGCTGGCAGAGCAAGGGTGGGCGCGGGGGGCTCAGCAGCAAAGAGCGGAGGGCTCATTCCTGCCAACAGGGGAGGAAAAGCAGATACATTTCAGTGCGTTTCAAAGGAAGGGGGTCAGCTTTTTTTGATGTTGCAAATGTATCATGATAAAAGGATCGTCCCCCACTCAGTGCTTTTTATTCTTTGCCTTTAGGATTAAGACAATTCCCATTGTTTATCTTCTCACATCAGAAACAAAGGCTGCCGGAGGCAATAAACAGAGTTAGAAGGATCCCAGGAATTATCAGATATTCGAGGAATGAGTGTGCCTCGTATGTCTTCATGTGTGTGGGCTCGGCATGCTCGGCGTTATCCCAGGGTGCTGCCAGCTTGTGCCCAGCACACGGGATGGGTTCAGCCTCACCAGGCACATAATTCTGCACAGAAGTGTGTGCATGGCATGGCAGCATGTAGTGAAGTTTGCTTTTCCAGAAACCTGCTGGATTAGAGATTAAACTCAGTTGTGAGCTTTTTTTTTCTCTCCCTCTAAAGCTTCTTTCGACCTGTACAGACTCGCATTCCCCTAGCGCTTTGGAGATACGCTGCTTGCAGTGCTTGAGCTAAAGGTTTCTATAAGCCTGGCTTTGTGGGGAAAGCGCTTGTTTTGGCCATGCAATGAGCTGCCCCATCCAGTATAAAAAGGACATGATGTAGGGATCTCTCAAAGGGTTCACTCTGCTACAGTGGCCATTGAGCTGGAAAGGATTTCCCAAATCTTTTCATTAAACAAACCAACCTACTTTCTCCCTGGTTAGGAAGCAAACCTCAGGTGTTTTTTATTAGTGTTTTGAGTCTGGGGCATTGCTGCTTGCCTTGTTGCCTATCCAGAAAGCTGCTGTTCTCCAAATCTGAAGAAATGCTCTGTTCCCACTTCTTGTGAAAACCTCAGGCTTGTTCTTCCTTCTGCCTTTGGAGGCTGTGATTTGCCTCCTGCCTCTTCAGGCAGAGTTTTGTAAATTAAATTATGGGCTGTAGATAGAGCCTTTTACATCTTGTTGGCTGTGCGCAGGAAGGTCCCTCTGGCTTCTGCTTTATCTCTGAAGGAGTCCAGGGCCATCTTTTTACAGGGGAGGCAGATGAGTTACTTTTCAAAGCAACTTGCACTTCATAGACTCTTGAACCCACATGTGCAGTGATGTGGTTGAATTTGGAAGCAAGGCCTCTTCTGCTCCAAACTCATCCTGATGCTGAGGTTGTTTCATAGAGACTTGTAGCCAAACAAGCATCATTCCACAGCTGGCACAGGAGTGCCAGGCTTTGGTTCAGTCCAGTTGTTTAGTTAGTTATTAATTTCTTTACCTATTTTGGAGAGAAGGAATTCCATGTGAAAAAGTGAACTAGGAAGTGTGGGTTATGGATGTAAGCATCCACTACATGCATGAGGCACTGGGGCCCACAGCCTTGCTCTCTAGCTGTTCAGAGGGTTTGAATGATGAGAGAACAGAAACAGAAAACATCAGATAGGAAAGGGTAGGGTCCTTTAGGGGTGAGACTCCTGGTTATCAAACTATCTGGGAATCATTACAGCCTCTCTCCGCTTTCTTGTAGCTAAAACTGGCTCTGGAGGAGGCTCTCCATATGGACATGCTTGGTCTGAGATGTGGTCATGCCATTTTAGAGCAGGGTGTACCACCAGCAGCTCTGTCTACCCATTCTTTACAGGGATTTAGAATTTCCATCTGGGCTTGGAACTTGGTTTAAAGGGCCAGGAGTACAGATGGGCTTTTAAAACCTTAAAAAAAATTTAATATGAGTGCTCTGGGAAAGCTTGAAGACATTGTGAAGGTCCAAACAAGCCTGACTAAGCAGCTGCTCTCTAACCACTTTCAAGGGCTGGTGAGGAAGGGATAAAAGGAGTTTGGATTTCCCTGGCCTCCTTTCATCAGAACATCACAAAGTGCTTTCAAACAGGGGACCGAATTCTCTGTGTCCATCTCTTCCAGCTTAGGAGTGGGGATGTTGCAAGAGCAGCTGGAACGCTCATTTTGTTTGGGTCATTATGCAATGCAGAGGATTTGAGAGGAAGCATGCCTGAGTCCTGCATTTGCATCCTTCTGGTTTTAAACCAGGCTTTATTTTTTTCAGGTGAGTCTCCACAGCTTTGACAGGGGGGAGAGATCACTTCACCTGGAGCCTGGCATAGTTTAATTTTGTACATTCTTTGCATTGTCATTGCAATGCTCCATCTTCCATCTGGTGAGGAACCAGTCCAGCATTTACCCTTCAGATGCCATGCTGCCATGGCACAGATTTGACAGGTGCTGCTAGCTCTAACACAGAGCTGTTCCTACCAAGCTCCACTCCCTTTTCCAAGCTCCTGGTTTTTGCTGGTGAGGACAGTGTCAGGAAGGTTCCCCGGTCACATCTGAGCTGGTCCCAGCAGCCAGGGTGGTGGGTTGCACCATTTGGGTTTGATGAGGAATTTCCTTGCTTCAAGGGGTGCTGTGAGGACAAATGGCTCTCCACTTCTGAGATGCTCAGGGCTCCTTTGCATTGCTCTGGGGATCCTGTCAGATCCACAAGGTTGGTGCATGAACCTATGGAACCAGTTCCCAAGGCTGTGAGGTGGGAATTGAAACTGCTGGAAATATATTTTAATTTTTATTTATTTATCGGTCTTGCCACTTCTGACAATACCAGCTAATTTTAGCTCAGCGATGAAAATGGACTGGTTGTGGGTTGCACCCTGCAGGTTGCACCCTGCAGGTTGCACCCAGTGGTCCTGGCACTGGACTTCCAAACAAGTTTGGCTTGTCTCTGAGCAATGGTCCTGTTTGGCAGACACCCTTCAGGGCTGCATTTGCCAGGGTGTAGGAGGGCCCCATGCTCTCTAGCTCCTCCGTGGTGATGGGCATTTCTGTCCTTTCCTAAGAAAACCTCAAGTAAAATTACACCCCTGTCTTTCACAGCAGAACCTAACTCTAGGGAGGATGGACAGGAAGGAAATAAAACCACTCTGCATGCCAGGCTGTGAAGAACTGGATAAGCTCCAAATATGACCAACAGCAAAGAGGCAGGTTTCTCTTTTGCAGTGGCTTGATGTGACTCCATGAATCAAAACTGGACTTTTGCACTGAAGCAAAAAAGTGTTTATGTTACTCTGCTGAGAGCTACTGTCTGCTTGATTAATTCATCCTTGTAGATGTAGAGAAATTATAACCACTTTCTTAAAATGATTAAATTGCTGAGCAAACCTGGAGGTTAACAGTTTCTAGGAGATCCTTCTGTATTTCTTTACAAGTGCAATGACACTGGGTCTTACAATAATTGGTGATTTTTTTCTTAAAGCTTGAAAACTTGCAGTCAT